GCCAAGAAATCTTCAAGTTCTGTCACAAAATACCCATGTAGAGATCAGAGATGTACCACAACAGCCGCCATTAGCTGAACCTGATAATGGAACTAAGGATGATAGAATAAGAAGTGGACGAAGAAATAAGGCAGAGATGGCAGATAGAGTATTAGAAAAAATTAGATGTGATGGTGTTTTGATTATGATCCCAACTTTGAACACATCATTGAGGATGACACCAACGGTTTTAATGAGTATGATGATCCAATTTATTAACAACAACAGCGGAGATCACGGAGACCACAGAGACCACCGAACTCAGTGTATAATCCAGGTCTTGAAAAGTGTTGCGATTATTGCTATGCAGTCCTTATCGATACTGAATTACCATCTTTTTGTTGCAACACGGACAAAATTTTACTCAGTGACATATTCAAAGAACTTCCACAGTACATGAAGGATATCTTATTGGATCCAATCACTTCCAAATATTCTCGAACAATCAATACCTTTCTTTTGCTACCATCTTTGGGTTCTAACAGCACTGGTGATTTGAGAGGCGGAACTTATTCAATGACTATCGACAGGCGTTTACTCCATAGTGTTGATGGTATGATAGCTTAGCAAAATAGCTAAACGAAGTTTGCAGAAATTTATACACTAGATTCGGACTTCGCTACAAATCGTTATCTTGAATTGCTTAGAGGTGTTCTTCAAAACGCTGAAGAGTATAATAAATTTGAAGATTACATTACCAAGATTGGTGAATTTCCATCTCAAAACAATCGTTATGCACAGCTGTTATATACCGCTAGATTGTATTTGTTCAACAGGAGATTACAGAGATGGGATTAACAAGAGTGGAAACTGTTGCTGAACTTGCCAACATTGAACCAACAGCATCAGCAAATTCAGAAGATGGTACTTCTCTATTTCCAGAGGTTAAAGAGTTTGCCTTGGTGCGCAGAAGCATAACAGCAGAATATACTTCAATCTCAGTAAGTATAAAGAAAAGATCTACAGGCAGCTTCCCTTTCATCAACAGTCTGTGCAAAAGTGTTTTTTGTTTTTTGAGATGTCCTCTTTTAATAAATCAAGGACGAGACAAGTCTTTTCCATACTAACAGCACTCGGATTAGTATGATTCTAACATATCCACCCCGTACACACGCTTGTGACTACATATACGAAATCTTACGCTTCAGTTTTAGAAGACTCTTTTAATCATTGATTCCGTTAGTTTCAAAATCATTCAATCAACGAAGAACCAGGCATTGAAGTCAATATCCGACGGGCTGCGCAGCACAAGTTGATCACGAAGGTAGCGGTGATTCGAGATTTACCGGAGAGTTAGGGAGGGTCCAAAATCGCGTTCAAATTTCAAAAACCGCAATGGAACATGGTGACCCACTGCTCCATCTTGGAGTCAATTTAAGAATACTGAAATAGAGCGAATTTCAACCTCCTTTGGTCGGAACTACGTGCAGTGTATGGCTGAATCGCAACAATTCTGCAGTCTGGTGGGGCTCGGGTTTGATCTCGGTCGATTAAATTGTGTTTCGCATTATACTACCTACAAATATCAACATACTTCTAAAACTGGTCAGCAACGTCCCGAACCACTGCATAAAGATACCAGGCAGTATCACAAATATATCGGGGGGGGGTCTTAAGAATGCTCTTACTTACTTTGTCGCCGAGAAATTAGAGGTAGGCAAATAGAGTTTAAACTTTTCTGGGGAACGCATATGAATGGATAAATTCTCGGAAGAACTCAACGGGGTACAGCACCTGCACAAAGACAGATTAAGGCCGCCAGCCGGAAGGTCTTGAAGGCAGCGGCCGGTTATATAAAGTCTGGTGCTCGACCTACAAGTGTATAATCATATTCAAATTCCTCAATCTATCACAGAATAATGTCAGGTTTTTTAAAAGTTCAAGGAACAAAGATTGTCGATTCAAATGGAACTCCAGTTGTGCTTAAAGGTACAGCTACAGGAGGGCATTTAAACATGGAGAATTTCATCACTGGTTACCCAGGACATGAAACAGAGCACAAGAAGGTTCTCAGATCTAAGATGGGGGAGGAAAAATATAATTTCTTCTTTGAAAAGTTCTACGAGTATTTCTGGACTGAAAAAGATGCAGTCTTCTTTAAAGAAGAGCTGAAATTAAACTGTTTAAGAATCCCGTTCAACTATAGACATTTCATTGATGATGAGGATGATATGTTTAAGATCAACCCAAACGGGTTTAAACTACTGGACAGGCTTGTTGACACATGTTCCAAGCATGGGATTTATACTATCTTGGACCTTCATGCCGTGCCTGGTGGTCAGAACCAGGATTGGCATTCGGACTCTGGTATTCATAAATCTCTTTTCTGGGACTTTAAAGTTTTCCAAGACTCCATGGTTAACCTGTGGATAGAGTTAGCAAAGTACTACAAGGATAATAGATGGGTTGCAGGCTATAATCCATTGAATGAGCCAGCAGTTGCTGACCACTCAAAGTTGGTCAATTTCTACCAGAGAGTCGAAAAGGAGATCAGAAAAGTTGATCCGCATCATATCTTGTTTCTAGATGGAAACACATATGCAATGGATTTCCGTCAATTCCCTTCCCCACTTCCAAATTGTGTATACTCGATTCATGATTATGCTTTTGCCGGGTTCCCAAATCCAGAAGGAACACTCTACTCTGGCTCCAAAGAGGAAAAGAGTAAATTGGAGACTCAGTATCAAAGGAAAATAGAGTATCACGTTAAGAACAGGGTTCCTGTTTGGAATGGTGAGTTTGGACCCGTCTACGCATCCAAAGAAAGGGGTGATAAAGATGTGGAAACAACCAACAACGCTAGATATAATGTTTTGAAAGATCAGCTCGGAGTCTACAAGCAAGGTGACCCTTCTGGTGATGGTTCTCCAATATCTTGGTCAATTTGGCTTTACAAAGATATTGGTTATCAAGGCCTGACATATGTTGATCCGGAATCCACATTTTATAAAGTGTTGGGGAGCTACCTCTTAGAGAAGAAACGATTGGGGCTGGATAGATGGGGTGCAGATATTGCACCAGAATTCTCCAAACTGTACGATGATTTAGAGAAGCATTTCAAAGATGTCATTCCAGAGAAGTACCATAAGGCACTTTATCCACATCCTTGGACAGTCAAGGATTACCTTTCACGTGTGTCCAGGGACATGTTATTGTCCCAGTATTACCAGCACGTTTACGCTGAGATCCTAGCAGGTTTGACGTTTGATGAACTTGATGAATTTGCTGCTTCTTTCAAGATTGAAAATGTAAAGAAAAGAGGGGAACTGAACGAAATTTTAAGAAATTACTAATGTTTACCTAGTACGGTGTTGATGGTTGTTAGGCCTTAATGTTTGGGCAAAGAGCTAATGTCTAATCTGTGTTTATCTGTAATCATTATGGGCACGAATGTTTTCAATTAGTAGAAAGTAAATCGGGAAAGATAAATAAAGCTTGAGAGCATCTCTCCTCGTTTCAGCTAAGAGTTTTGGAATGAGCTTGAAATGGTGCAACTTGTCAATCTTGAACTAAACAATTTTTACAAACCTCCGAGATTTCGAAAGCCCCTTGAAGAAGTCCACCACGCACGAGGCAAAAAAATGAAGCGTCAAATTAGCGCATCGACAAAACGAGACTGTACCGAGATTACATAATCACAAATTTGAAAAGACAAGCTGCCCAACTTTCTAAGAAGTCACAGCTGTTGCCCAAAAAGGTGCCATTTTGTAGACTTTTGCAGACTTTTGCAGACTTTTGCAGACTTTTGGAAACTTTTGCGCCAAATGTGAAAGTGTTGTCAGGGCGCGAAAATGACAGCAAAATGACAGCAAAATGCACAGCAAAATGCACAGCAAAATGACAGCAAAACTGATTTGTAGCAGGAAAAGTGTCCGATGTGGGCAATTGAACCCTAAGAACTAAAGCCCTTCCCACAGTCAAAATCTTCCGAAGCATACAACGGACATTTGACAAGCTCCCTAACTCGCTCGTATTGTCTACCATTTCGTCTGGAAGGGACCAGACGTTCTCATCATTATGGGCCAGTGTGGACCATCCACTCACCACCACGCGTCGTTCGCGCAGCCGG